GGTTCTACAAGTAGTTTTGTGCAGGACTATTTGTTGGCCAAAAGCAGTGACCCTCTGAGATCTTGCTGTCACCGTTAGTTTTCCAGACAACCAAAAGACACTCCAGGAGGTGGTCCCCGTCAAGAAATAATCTGGCACAGAAACTCCATAAAACCACAATTTATTTTATGTGGATTAAACAAATAAGATACAATGTGTTAATTAGTGAACTAAAGAGGCGCTCGTAGGGGTGTTTATAAACTTCAGACAGAGTCAAGCTAGCTGTTTCCCCATGCTTCCAGTCTTTATGCTAAGCTAACCGTCTACTCGGTGTAGCCTCGGATTTAGTGTAGAGACATAAAAGTCTATCTTTTCATCTTACTCTTGGAAAGTGAGTGAATAGGCTTAATTCCCAAAATGTTGAACTGTTCCTTTGAAGGTACGGTTAACCAATAAAAACTCTAGTCTGACTCATCTGAATGACTTTTCCCAGGCTGTTCTCATAAACTGTTTGTGCGTTTTTGCACCAAATTCGTACATATCCGACGTAATGATGAGCCAGTGATTTGTACATAAGCCATGTATTTTGGAAGACTACTATCACAAGACCATGCTGACAGGCGTAAAGAAGAAAGCGGTCTCAAGTGGTTCAGTTAGGAAGCACACCGGGGTGGTGGATGGTTCACCAAACACAGGACTTTCCCCTGCAGACTGAAGTTAGGAATCATAAGGACTTTGAATCATTTAAGGTGTGTTGTCACCATGTTTCTTTTCCGAAACGTTGCCACAGTAGCTTAACTTACCATAACCTAACCTAAATAACTTTACGTTAATTACATAAGTTAGCATTAAGAGCACAATGTCATTTGTGGGGCACTAATTCGTAGGATATCATATGTAACGTCACATGAGAATCTGTTGCTTTTCCTAAATAAGTATTTTGTGTCTTCTCTTGTTTGTGTTTGCCTGTAGCTGTAAGGTCAGCAGCAGCTATAGTATGGCTAGCTGCATTAGCCTCACCATCTGCACTTTCGCCGGTGGTTTCTGGGATGGACGGTGTGTCAGAGTCACTTGCTCAAAAAGTTGCCAAAAAATCCACAGAGGCTCACAAAAATGTCAGTACAATCCATAATAATACAGCTTATGGGCCAATACATTAAAAGGAAATAAGTGCTGCACAGTAATTTAGCATTAGTTAGCTCACATGAATGCAAAAGGATTCATTGGTAACAGTTAGCCTTGTCTTACATTTCTTTGGAGCCAGTGGCTGATCTTCCTACAGGCGACATAGGCAGCCACCTACACTGACAAAGATACACTGACAGTTTTTTTGTGTACTGGCATATTTGTTCCAGAATCTGTACGTAAGTACTGTAAGTGTCTTATTGACAGTGTTAGGGGTAATGCATTACAATAGTAATAAATGCATTACAATAGTAATAAATTTCAGTTACATTGTTTTAAGTGGTAACAATGTAATATAACTCTTTACAAACAAGATTTCTGGTAATATTATTATATTTACAGTGTCACATGATGTGTTACCATCAAAAATAAACCGTTGCTGTTTTCATTGTGTTATTCATCCACACCAAGCAACACCGGAGTGTACTATCATGTTTTATAGGCTACATTATAGAAGAATGTAAGTGATCAGTAAATCTTGGTCATATCATACAGTGTGTTAGCATGTTCAGTGTGTTTCCATTTATAACTCTCTCTGGCGCTGCTGTAGCTGACCAGCACACTGGAAACCAGCAGGTAGGTCTTCCAGCTCCAGTGTATTAATTTGTACTCATCATAGTGACTTATTTGCTTCATTATGTTTCATGTGATAGGCCCACACATATTGATACCTATCTCATAATTTATCAGACTTTGATCAATGTTGGGAGCTGACTTGAAGACATCACTTTAGATTTGGTTTGTTGATGAGATGAAAAAAGAATGGATAAATTATAGCATCACTTTCATTTCTACTTTTCCCTTAGTGTAATTTTCAAGCTTCAATTAATTACTGGCTACTTTTACTCTGAACAAAAAACAAAAAACAACCCAATGGATAAATCATTCCTGAGGAGATCCTATCTTCGTTCCTGTCTAAACAGGTAAAAATCAGACTGACTGTGTTTAGTCATCTGTGAGACGATGTGCCTTTGTGACACAGGCTCCTGGGCTCTCAGGAGGGCTTCAGGGTCACAGGTGATTATTGAACAATTCTTCAGTGGACGGCCTTTCAATCACATCTGCTACGATAGAGGTCACTCGGCTGAGTCAAAAGATTCTACTTAAACCTGGGCAATTTGTTAGAAATATATTAAATTAGCACTTAGGGCCAAGGGCTAAAGGCCGTTTTTAAACAGGCATCACCGTGGGAGACACAGATCTGTTTACACAAACAGGTATTCTAGTGTATAAAAAAACTGATCAAACATTTAGTTTCTCTTCTTTTTTATTCTTCTTCTCATTCTCTATTTTATCTCCGTGATTCCCCTTCTCTCCCTCCCTCCCTCCCTCCCTCCCTCCCCCCTGGCAGCACATTGTGTTTATTCTTAGCTCTTTCTGCTGTAGTGGCCCGCTCTCCCAAAGACAGCTGAGTCTGCTGGGGCTCCATTAGCTTTAACATGTTCAGTACTGGATGGGACGCAGGCAATGCAGAGGAACGAAGAGACAGTGAGGGAGGGGGAGGATTGAGGAGGAGATGTAAAGATGGAGAGAGGGAGGAGGATGAAGCGGCATCTGGGACTAGAGAGCTGCTACAAACAGGAGGAAGTATAGTAAAAGACAATTTTGTTTGTACAGTACAGTTTGTACACAAGGCCTTTAATTGCCTTCTCTGTCTCTTTCTTCATTCACTCTCTAACTTCATCCTTTCCTCTCCATCATTTACTGTTAATTAAATCCTTATCCAACTCCCCACTTCTTCTCCATTTTTCCTTACTCCTGTCATCTGCAGACCTTCAGTTTCAGTATGCTGCTTTGGTATCAGCCAATTTGGCCAATCTCCAACTTACAAATCCTCAACTTGCTGACAACTTGGTAAAAAAGTTAAGTGTGGCAACAAGATCACTGGCTTGTGCTGTTTGTAGCTGATAGAGGAGTGGAGCTAAAAATAATGGAGTGCAGCAGAGTTCGCAGTCCATCAGTCTGCTTGTCAAGTCTGGTCTAACTCAATTTTTTATCATAAATTATGTAATTTATTCTCCGCAGAACAAGTAATCTTTTTACACACACTGCACCAGCATAATCATAATCTTTAATTTATCTCTTTACAATAAATAAATGTATACGCATTTGATCTACTTTCATGGTGTTTCCATCTGAATTTGCACAAAGCAGGCCTCTATCAAAAATGAAAAATCATATCATCCAGTTTAATAAAATACAATAAAATGACTGAGTCACCTGTCAGATACAGAAATGTGCAAAATGCCAATGATGAATGTTTGTTCACTTGTATCAATCATTTTGTGGGAACAAAAATGATTACCCCAGGTGAAAGCATTACATTATTAGAATATAGAATATAGATTTTGGTTCTACATTTTTCATATTGTAAAAACAATCACACAAACAGACCAAAACCAACAAAGTATTAATCTGTCTCTCATAACCCTCTGAAGGTATGCAAGCCTGTTGTCATCACAAAGTCGTCAAATACCGCCAGTGATTTTGGCATCAGACACTGACGCTGAAAGCCACCTTCTGTGGCTATGTGATATGCCACTGAGCAGCATCAGTTCGTAACGCGGCTAGATGGAACCCCTTGTGTCGGTATAATGTGTTTGTGGATGGTGTCTGTCAGAAACGCTGCTAGTAACAATGTAATATAAAGAGCTGGAAAGGGCGGGAGTATGGATCCAACAAACCTTGGACTTTTACCCAGGAGGCCAGAGTTAGCTTCCTGTATGAATTTCACCAAACTTACCCATGTGCATTCGTTGCCTAAACATAACCATATGCTTGTGTTACATGGTGTAAGTTGACATGTATTGTTAACCCCAAACGCAGGAGGATACCTGGTACGTATAATGTAAACATTAACGTCAGTGACTAAGTGGCAATATGTGACAAGTTGGGATGAGAATGGGTTGGGTATGCAAAGCATATTTTTTTTTATGTATTGTTTTTTTTTTTAATGTTTTTTTTTTTCTTCTGACAGATTTACCTCTACAGGGCCTATAAAAATGATTCAAGTTAAACAATCTGGAAAGGTAAAAATAAATAAATAAATAAAGCGCTTGACTTAATTCAACTCTGAAAAATGTAAGCTTCGGTGAAGAGGTCCAGTTTTTTTTTTTTTTTTTTTTTTAAATGCTCACTAGCCAAAAGTATAGAAAGCACCAATATAGGACTTGTTCTTACTAAAGATGTTTTTTTTAAAAAAAAATGATGAAAATAGGAGGACTGTACCTGACTCGGAATGTTTTCAGTCAGATCTGATTTGGCTGGTCAATACAAATATTCAACTATTAGACTATTATATAGACTTTCAAGGACAATGTGACAATGATGGGCGCCAACTCAGCTACTTCAGGGGACCAAAATGTCCCTTAAGGTACACTGCACACTGATTGACAGGTTTAAGCAAACATTACTTAAACAGAGGTGCTAGTGAGTTTTACAGCATCAGGATGATGTATAAGTCAAAATAAACTGCAGTGTGTGCGATCATGGTAATAAAAAAAACATGCCACCCACTGGAGCAGTGTGGCTTATTGATGTTTTATCAATAGGCTTTGGACGGCAATGGAGCTCTGTGGCACAGAGGAAGAAGATATACAGATAGAAACAAAGACAGTACTTGTTGACAGAACCAATCATTGTTGGTTTTGTTCTTTTCATTAGATTCGTTGACAATAAGAAAAAATATTGAGTATGGCCAGCTTTAGCTTTTAAGACGTGGGCTTTGTTTAAGGTTAGGGTGGAGCATGTATGGTAAGCCACCAAGGAGTTAATGTAAGTCAATGCAATACATCTTCATACAATGACCACAACAAGTTTATGTCTGTATTCCTTACCTTATTCTCCAGTCGTCCAATTAGTTCAGCCAGGCGGTTGATTTGAGCGTCCAGACCTTCTTTTCTCACCTCTACTGCACCTGCAGCACAGACATAAACACACACTCTAAACACATTGCGTAAACAACTTTCATTGCTAGATCCGATGCAGCTGGGTTCAATTTATTCAAATATGTCTTTCAAAATTTTAATCAAATTTCCAAAGTTGGGCGGTAGGTTGTCATGTCACAATATTTATTTCCTTTGAACTACTCATCCATATGTAATCCAGGTTAAGCCATTAGCCTTTTGGATAAGTGGTGCAGCCACAAAGTAGGTGCGGTAAAGATGCAGGTACACTGAGCAGGTACATCATGGTGTATGAAGAATTACACCACTTAGTACTACACTATCGCTGCTCTCCTTCTCATCTCTCTCTCTTTTCTTTTCCATTCTTTGATCATGAATATTGCATGTAAAGTTCCAAAGTGGCTGATAAATAGGCAATCATATCTGTTTATCGGAAGGAACTTGGCCTTCAAAGACAGTAAAGATATGGATGGATGGGAAGCTGCCTCCTTTGAGGTGCTCTGTTTGTAACTCTTATTCCAGTGTGATATTGAGATACCACACTAGGCTCTTAGTAATTAGCTTCGGTCTTGAAGCAATATTTCTCTTTGGCAGAAAATGTTTACTTTGTAGCAAGAAAGACCACCAATGGGGTAGAAGAGTAAGTCTACAATTTCATTGATGCTTTTGAATATTTCATTATCAGTAGCTACAAAACATAATGGAGTGCTTCGACCTTATATCAGCATGAATGTGTGGTAAGAGATAATTATTCAGAACAGAATTAGGCTCTGTTGGGTCATTTTTAATTGGTGGTACAGATGGAGGCTTCTTGTACTGTCACATACTAAGACTGGTACATCCAGGGCTTGTTAGCATGTTAGCAATCTCAAGATTAAAACCACATTTCACATAAAACCGGATGCCTTGTTGTTTTGCAAATCTTTCTTATTTCTCGCCTCAAATGTTTTCAGAAACACATCTAATGCATTCTTTAGTTGTGAAATGAGAACATTTGCAACCCACCACCCACACCACTTTTCTCATTTTACAGCTAAACAGTACACTATAAATGTATCTGACAACATTCGAGGCGAGAAACAGGTGATGCAGTGACAGAATCTTGATTCATATTTGAGCAGTGCTGCATAGTTTGACCACAGTTCATTAACAGTGACTGACATGACTGACAGCCACATTCAAGGCTCCTCAGCTCTGATTGGTTGTTTTCCTCCAGCCTCATTGGATTGTAGCAAATGCCATAAGAAGCACTACGAGTGGGCAGACTGTCTCATGTACTATAGTATATATTGACAGTTAGTGACAGCAAATGTAACAAAAAGTTATTTTTATTAAAATTACCAACTTTTAAAATAACAACCAACCGACTACTTTAACAACCAACAGCTTTAATAAGAACTTAAACATTTCTGAATTTGCAGTGTATAGCATCTTGTCTTCTATATAATGCTCTTACTAGCTTATGGTGATTATCCTGAGTATTCCATACTCACAATCTAAGGTACCATGTGGAGTTTTTGACCACTAGTAGTGCTATGGAGAAATATTTTCCCCAGTAGGATCCTGTTTTGGTATACTAAACTGATGATGTAGGCACGGATGTTTCCAGTTGCCTCAGCTCTGCTTAATTTGTGCTAAATTTATGCTCTTATGTCTATGGTGCACGTGTTGGTGGTTGCAAGTCTAACCAGTCTGTAAACACTAACCAGTCTGTAAATACTCCTCGTGATGACCTCTGCTAGCTAGCCAGGCTGAGGTTTTCAAATGTAAACATCAGTAAACATCGAAGAAAGATGGAGAAGAATGAGCACCAGCTGATATTACAGTTCTATATCTGGAACTGTAATATCATTTGATTCACCAAAACCTGGCTAAATCCTTGACAGCACCATTTAAACAGGGGACTGTTTTTCTATATCATCAAACAGAGCGGAGGCCTCTGCTGAGAGAAGAAGAGGAGGCATGTGCTTCATGGTGTATAAGGACTGGTGTGACAGTGCAAGATACTGTCCCAGTCCTGCTGGATCACTGCTATACACCATTCAGAGGTGGCTGCAAAGTGGAGTTGCTGCATGTGCTCAGGACTGGGCCCCATGGCCCGAGGCCTGGCCACCAGACACTTGCCAGTAAGCTCCCCCTCAGGTCTGGCTCCAGGGTAGGGTGCCCCACTGTCTCTGTACCGCGATGTAGTACTCTTTTGCTGAATGCGCCATTTTATCAAGGTCTTCTTGAACTACTCTCATTCTGGCCCCTCCCCTGGGACCACTTTGCCTTGGGAGACCCTACCACGGGCTATTTACCCAGACAAAAGAGCCCTCAGGATCACAGGAACACACACGCACACTCCTCCACTATGTAAAGGTGGTGATTCTTGGAGGAGCAGTGGAATTGTACCTTGTATAACTCCATGTGACAAATAAGTGATTGATTGATTGATCTCATGCATACACAGGCACGAGCATGTGGGCAACACAGTACAAATTCATGCCCTTGGTTTCATGCCATACTGCTGAACAGTCACTGGTTGCAGTGAGACAGTAATACATCATTACAGGCAAGAAAGAAGAAGACTGCTAACACATCAACATGGATGTCAACAATGAACAATACAAGACAGTCAGCTTTTTCAGTGTCTTCAAGATGTTGTTAAGATGCTGTAAGACCTCAAGGATACACACACTGTGTTTTTGTGAGTAACACTGGATGTAATCAAGACTTTTGTTTATTTACAAGATAACTGAGCAGTGGCACCTTTAATGTGTTTACAGTCTATTGACGTTAAAAAGCATCACATCGCGCCTTTAGCTGTTTAAGCTCCACAGTGAAATGTGCAGTGCAGAACTATAAAATAGCCTTTATCTTTCACTGTCATTGTTAATGATGGTTGCTAATTTGTGTGTGTTAGTACAACTAAAGCAACAATAAGGTAACACTAAAAACACACAGAAAACATGTTGTTTTCCTCTAATTCATGGCTCTCTCTGTTCACCTTCTTGTCCCTGGACATAATTTCTCTCTTCTCTCTTGGTTCTCCTCTCTCTGTCTTCTTCCTCCCCCTCTCCTCCCCCCTTCCCTGCACTGCCGTCATCCCCTGATGGCCCCCTCACTACTAATTGGAGAGTTGGCTGCCCACTCTTCATTAAAAGCTTTAACAGGCAGTCAATTAGGAGCTACCTCCCTGCAACCTAAACACACACACACACATATGCACACACTCATCAACTAAACCATAGTCTGTAACCATGGAGACAAAAGCTCAGTGGTCATTTCGATGGACTTAGAAAATAAGTGTCCCGGTCAATTATAGAAGTGTGTGAGGAATTACAGCCTTCAAATCTAGCAGCGGGGTGAGGGGAGGGGGGTCTCTATTGACTTTCTCCTCAATTAAACCTGATTTGAGTTATTCCACATTCACCTAATTTAACTTTCCATTCTGTGTCAGCCAGTATTTAAATGTGGTCACTTGAATCATGAAAAAGGTCCACTGTTGTTACAGTATCTACCTGATTTTTTTCTTTAAAAGAAAGAATGCAGTGATATAAGTTCACATGCAAAGCCAAGTAACTTTTTGGACCTGACAGAACATGCAGTCTGGTAGAGATTATGGACGTATATCACACAATTTACTTGCAATGCCACAGTATATTGTCTGACATGGAATTTGTGTATTGCATGTCAAAAAGGTGAAGGGGCAGACACTGACATGGTGTACTAAAATGTAATATGTCTGACTTTCACATCAGATACTGGAGTTTGCATCCTGTCAATAATAAATGTTGTGCAAGCTATAAATTATTTGTTGTTTTTACCAGAACTCTTAGATTTTCCACCACTTTTCTTCTAGAAGTTCCTACTTTCGGTGCAGAGTGCATAGTGGAGAGTGCATAGTGGAGAGTGCCGGCGCCCCATGTACATGGCATTGCCTGGCTGCAGCAGCCGCGGGTTTGATTCAGCTCTTTGCTGCATGTCATTCCCCACTCTCTCTCTCTCTCCCAATTTCACACACTATCCTGTCCATAAAAGGCAAAAAGCCCATAAAAATAATCTTAAAAAAAGAAAAAAGAAGAAGAAGTTCCTACAGTCAGGGTCCCCCCTGACCTTCACCTGCAAAATGTCACTCAAATTAAAATGTACTGAGAGACCCCAAAAGACCACAAAGACATGCACAGTAACTGCAAAGAGACAAAAAGAAAAAAAAAATACCATGAGAAAGAAAAAGAAATGCAGTTCTTTGAACGGCTGCTTGAGGCTGGCTCAAAAGGCAAGTCAGTCCCCATACACTCCCATGTTAAAATGCCAAACTTTACAGCAGAAATAAACATGTTTAAAGCCTGGTACAAAAAACGGTGTTGGTCTCTGTAGCTAATGTCCCATTTCATGACAACTATATAAGGGTTGAACTTTTATATAACTCACTGTTTTACATTTTATCAAGCCCTAAAGGTACGCATGATTGAGGGTGGGTCGCCTTGAGTAGCAAACTGTCCGCCAATAGTGTCCTTGGCTTCTGAATCAGATCCCCCCTTGCTCCTCCACAGCTTCAGCCTCAAATATGGTCACTCTTGGCAAAAAAAAAAACTAGATGGTGGGAGTCCACAGACCTTATCAAAGGTCTTGTAACATCTCCCAATATCAATTATATTAATTTGCAACAGAATTGAGTTTGGGTTGGGTTCCATAGGCACCAACAAATTCTTCTTTGCCTGAGAATTACTTGTAGTGTCCAAAACCAAAAAGTGAGAGATTGAAGCTGGATGCAAAGCCAGCCACAGATTAATGCAGAGATGTAGCTGGGTGCAAAAACCAACCTCAGCAGAGGTCAAGAACAAGACAAACAAAGCTCTGCTAACATCGTGTCTCAGTGCTAATCAGTCATTAATGGGAGGTTTCTGCATCGTGCTGCCTACAGATTACTTGTCAATCAAACTGTGCTGCTGGCGATGTATCCATGGATTTTCTCTTGTTATAATATAAGTTTCATGGTAAATTGTGTCATATCAACTAGCAGGTT